CATCACCAGAATTTTGACCGGGATGGCAACTGGTGAGCCAACAGCATGATCAGCGGGCTTGCCAAGGCGAATTGAAGCCGCAGCAGGAGGAACCATTCTTGCGGCGACACATTGGCATACAATGATACAAGGAGCTGAATATGGGGAGCAGATTGTGAGACAGAGCACGCAAGCCGGAGAATATATGAGAACAGCAGGTCACTGCTAAGTCCAACGGGGACATGGAGTAGACGGCACGGTTGAATCGGATTTTTTTGAAGCAGACGAGGGGTCAGACCAGGACGGCTGGACGCTGCAGTCCAATGGAGGAATGAATCACAAACGAAAACTAAATTCGTGTGTATTCATCTCAATCCATATGTATTGAAATGGATTGGAGTGAAATTAAATTAAGTTTTATTCTGATCCACTCCAACACATGTGGATCGAATGAAATACACATGTATCCAAACATGGCCTAAAGGAGAACGTTGCTCCAACAGGAGAGGCATGACCGCGCCCACGCTGGTCGATCGGAAGGGGAGCTAGAAAGTTTAGGAGCAAAAGGAAGTACCAATGAGAGATGCTATATTTGTGCATTTTATTAACTATGATATTTCATATAGATATATAAATATGGACATGTAAATCTTACCATGAAGATGTTCAAGCATTCAGCCACACCAATCAGTTGAACCAAATCCCTTAAAACCTCTAAAACCAGATTGTCCTTTTGTTACTCACATGTGTTACTTATACACAAATTGTCCTTTTGCAGCACCATGTTCGGCTGATGGTTTTTTGCAACTGATAAGCCGGCTGCAACTGTTTTGTTGTGAGAGAAAAACACTATACTATGGCTGATAAGTTCAAGCGGTTACGAGTACACAACATATTTGGAAGACAACACCAATCTCATAGGTTTCATGCTCCACCACATCTAGATCCTATTTAGGCATTGCAACATCGCTACTCCTCCAAAAATAATTTGATTAATTGACCCTGACATACTCAATCTTGAGCATGTAGTACTCTTGGTCAATTTTTGGGTTTAATAAAGCATAAAAATGATGATTAAATAAATAACAGGCACAATTATTTGTACAATAAAACACTAAAGACAAGTACAGATAAGATCCAGATCTTTTAAAATCTAGTAACATATTATATTTTTAGAAAAAATAGTTATTGGTTTCATTTTTTTATTTAATTAGGTACCAACATGTAGAGGGCAAACAAGTTATTTTGTTTTTTAAAATACAAAGTCATTTTTGAAACCAGCTAGATGGCCAATTTTTTTGTGGTAATAATAGTTTGTTGACCAAGTTTTTATATATTTTCTGAATTAATTATGTGCCACAAACAAATTTGGACAACAATTGAATTTACAAAATTGGACTTCACAAATCGAATACTTACCTTCTTTGATTGCTAGTGAACAAAGTTAGAGATCACGACAAACTGAGCCTAACTTTCTCCTGGTGGAGCCTGTCTATCCACGTCTAAATCTTAGGATTGGTACATCAGAGCATATTTGTCTGTATTTATATTTTTATTAGAAAGAGACAATAACTATTTATATAATGGTAGACAAAGCAAGAATCTTTAGATAATTTCATCAATCTCAAGATGTATTGACTCATGGGTGTATATACGTGTAGTCGTGTACGTCGGTGTCCGTACATCCGGATGAAAAAGTTGGCGATGATCATGGTCATGGCATGAGTTTCCTGTCCGTTAATAATCTGACCACCCACCGGACGCCTCTCACCTAGATTTTCCACGGCGCACCTGGCTGAAATCCTCACACGCCTTGCTAATTGGATTTGGAGGCGGCCTCACGTGTCCCTCGCCGGATCGCTCGTCGTCACTTCACACACATGACTCGCCGCCAAGGCCCCCATTGCCCCAAGGTCGTTAATTGCAGCCTTTTATTCACGGTCGCCCAGCAGGAACATAGACGCGCTAGCGCTAGGATAGGAGAGAAGACACACATGGATACATACAGGCACACGTCGACGCATCAGCAAGGTTGGTGACATGTCGTCTCGTCCAACAAGGATCGCATGCCTGCCCCGCCCCGACCATTGCTTTTGCTGAAGCGTGCACGACGCGACGCTACAGCACTCGGCGCCGCGTCGATCTCCCTCGGACGGCCGTCGGATGGCAGGCACTGTAGCATGTATCTTGCGGGGCTGAGGATCCTCTGTGTCGGCTACGGAGCCGAGGACCCATATATGCGATTATGCGTGCAGTCTGTGCTGTTGCCCCAGGCTGTGTTTTGAGTGTGATCTCTCCTCTCCCGTACGAGCTCTATATAAACAGGCCTGAGGCCTTGCCCCTCTCTGCAGACTGCAGCACACGCGCCTCGATCCTCCTCGCCCCTCGCCTCCCTGCACCTGCAGAGAGCGCCACAAAGGTCCTGCTTCAAAGACTCCCCAACGCCCCTCTTCTCATTCATGCCGAGTGTTTCATCTTCGCCTGTTTCCCTCTTCTTGAGGCACTGAAACTTTGCAGTGCTCTTCTTTCTTGTAGTTGCAGAGAAGGGAGACGGGAGGCGGACGAGAGGAAGAGATGGCAGGCTGTGATGGAGCCAAGTCATCGGCGTCCATGGAGGAAGAGGTAATTTGGCATAATTTCTCTGTGAATTGACTTGATTCCTGGCACAAAGAAAAGGAACCATGACTGTCTAGAGGTTGCAGTTCACATGTTACCGATCCTTCAGTTGTTGCTTCGTTTACATACATAATGCGCCCTGTTCGTTTCGGCTTAGTTTGGCTGATAAGCCATAGCTGAAAGTATCGTTGACTGATTTGATGTGAGAGAAAAATACTGTTCGTTGGCTGAAAAAGTACGGCTTATAAGCCAAACAAGCCCAAGCGAACAGGGCAATTGTATATGCATTCCCTGTTCATCCCCCCTACCTGCCTACTTGGATCAAGACTGCCCTGCTTTGATTAGTTTCTGAATTTTAACCTCAAAACGAACTTCTTTTTGGAGTTTTTATTGGGACTGAACTTAGGACATATATCGATAGAGTTCTGCTGTTGCAGAGCAATGCTTGACCCAATTTTGATACACAATTATACATCGAAGTGATTTTTAGTGGCTTCAGAAAGTCCAGTTTTGAACGCCAGGCTCCTTTAGGAATCGGCTCACTGAACCTCCCAAGATAAAAAAAAAAAATGTCTTTATTGCCTGAAAACGTAAACCGACAAGCAGCTTAAGGAAACAGGAATATAAAGGACAAATGAGGTTTCACTGTTTGCTCATTTCGGATTTCAGTTTCTTTAACGAAACAAACATCTTGCCGTTGATGCTAACTTTTCAGTGACGAAACTTCGTCAGTTTTTTCCACTTTTGATGACACCATAGAGATGTTTCCTTGGATGCATCTTAATTGCGCATTAACCGAAAATCATCATGTTTGTAACCACCAAAAAGAAGGTAATTACTCAGCACCTAACGCGTGTGTAGATTAAGTTGCACTTATCCTCACCAGGACACCAGCTACTTAGCAAACCTGCCGTGCCCAACGCATTTAAAGATTCTGCACTATCTTAGTACTAATACCGCTATAGATTACGCCTACGAAACGAAACTGCTTTTGTTGACCACGCGCACCCAGATTATTGTTTAATAATGACATTGAAGGAATGAAGTAACGAACGAAAGTAAACTTTACGCAACCTGCACCTGCAGCTCTTGGGCCCAAGAATCTATTGACTGAAACTTGAGAGGTTCTGAGCAACCATGACGAGATGTGGCCTCGGTTCTGTCAATGATGGACCGGTCCTGCTTTTTTACTATGAGCAAAGCTGACCCTCTGAGAATCTCACTCGGCGAGTCAGCTTTGCAACCGCATCTGCATGGATTATGCATGAGCAGCGAACAGCCCCGGCCGGTAACAGTTTCTGGAATCCTGTCATTTTCGTGGCTTTGTTCAGAGATCGCCGTCAGTAGATCGGTCACATGCTTTTGGTGGATCAAAAGCAACCGTATAGATAGCACAGAGCGGCATATCCTTCCTTGTCGATAGGGGTGCGTGTTTTTGTCGCCGCGGGGCGACGTGCTTTCAGCCGTGAAATTATGATTAATCGAGTGGTCAAAAAGGTAGGGGCAGATGCCATTCATGCCGTCATGTCAGTCCACTAGAGAAGCAAGCGTCTGTGTCTGTGCCGGCATGATGGCCCTGACCCCTGAACAAACGGATAAGCCTTCCTCGCTCCCTTCCCCTACCCGGAAGAGGTTCAGTGGTTCGGCACACAGCTTCACAAGTCGGCTGTTTTTGTTTTTCGGAGGGCAGATTCATCATAATTCGGGTGTTTGGCGTTGGCACAAGTTTGTGATGTCTTGAACCATTTTGCTTGCAGGCATGTGGGGAGAAGAAGTACGGAGGAATTGCACCCAAGAAGCCTTTGATATCCAAGGTATTAGCAAAGGACCACGATGCTATTGGACCAAACAACACGAATGCTAGCTTATTTAGAAGCTTTGATCACTTCTTCCTCTTATGTCATTCCTACGTGCCGTGCTAATGCAGGACCACGAGCGCGCCTACTTCGATTCTGCGGACTGGGTGCTGGGCAAGGTCAGAGAAGAGAGCAAAATCCACGCTCCAGAATTCAGGAATCGCGCATGTTCAGAGTTCAGACCTCAGACTAGTAGTGTCTCTAACCGTGCTCCTTTTGGCTTGTATTTTTGCAGCAAGCTGCAAACAGCAGCACAAGGGCTGCTGTCGAGTCTCTGAAGCCCAAGCTGAAGGTCAGTTGCATTGGACCATTACAACACTCACAGTTGAACTAATGACTTCCCCTGATATCTAGCAAACTTCACCTGAACGAATTCATGTGATTTCTCCAGCACTGAGACTGAACTTACTAATGGTCTGTTCCTCTCCCTGCTGTCCAGAGAACGCCTCACCACCAGCTGCCCCCTCGTAAGCCCACCTGCGCTTCCAGTTGAGACGACGCACGGTAAGCTAGCTAGCTGGCCTCCATGACCCTCCTGAACCTGCACAGCTCACAGCATCAGCAGAGCTATGTGCAAGTGCAAAGAGGCCGCAAGACATGACCGTCCGTCCTTGCGTGTTCGTGCAGGCCACGCGTTGCAGCTGCTGGAGGGAGAGCTCGGAGGCAAGGAGGGAGGATGCATGCCGAGCTCGGATAAAAGTTTAGCTGGTCCGAAATCGTAGGGACGAGTCACAAATCCGAATCCGACATGCAATCTGGCTAACACCTATTGTGTCTTTGTCATAAGAACGGATTAATTATCAAGTATCTGGCTTAAGTTTGGCATGGCACTTGGTGACAGAGTTTGCCAAAAAAAATGCGGGGTAGAAAATGTTGATTTACTTGATTCTCAGAGGTTTCGTTTCTTCTCCGCGGGGGTTTGTGGGCTTTCGAGGGAACAGAAGCCCAGTATTTGGACACGCCCGCCCCACAATGGTTACGCAGGCCGTGGGCTTATTGGGCTCCTACTGTTTAGGCTCGTGGACAGCCCATCCACTGTCTGTGCATTTCAGCATAGTTAACGGCCTACCCGCTTTTAGCCTAACTCCTACTATTTCTGCAAGTATAATTTTATTTGGTTCCACTAAAAATAATTTTACGTGCTTCCACCCCCAAAGAAAATCACGTATTACGCATTACTAAATTCACGAGAGACATAATCTACCATGGTGGAAATACAGTTGCTGTTATAATCTAGAGCCTTAGCTTCTTAATCCCACTACACAGACAATTGCACTTTGTTTCTGATGAGTCAAATACGCTCACATGTGAACTTTATTATTCCCTTCATACTAAATTATAAGACGTTTTAAATTTATAGTTTTTTCTATGCATTTAGATATAGTGTGCGTCTAAATACATAGCAACGGGATATAGATTCATATGGCTTTAATTTTGCTATACACTTAGGGCGCGCTCGCTGGCCTGGATGGTCCAGACCAGCCGGCTGACTCTCCTCGCAAAACACTGTTTATCAACAAGCCGCTACAGTATTTCTCTCTCACAAAACCAGCCTTTCAGTCAAGTTTCAGACCAAGCGAACGGGGCCTTAGTATCGTCTTGTAATTTAAAATGGAGGGAGTACCAGAGTGCGACTCACAGAATGTTCAGAAGATTGCACCACCGGTTTGCTGCCAGTAATAAGCCACTGGATTCCGGATTTGCCACAAGCAGTTTGGTTAAACTGAACTTATCTTTTGATCAATGATCATATATATTGAAAGATGAGGCACTGCCCTGAAACTCTTACAAAATCTAGATCGAATTCCATGGGCCCATAAGTTCCTCGAGAAATTCCCCCATGCAAGCTTGTTTTGTTGTTGGCGTCTTTGGGCATATATATGGACAGAACTATGCGGAGCTTTTAATTTGCATCAGAGGATGATATATGTATGTACACATGGGCTCCGCCGACTGACTGGCTAGCCCTGTTGGGCATACGGTTTTTATCCTCTACGCACATAGGTGTATCATGGCAGATCATCAGTCTAATCGCTTGTCGAGGCCTAGCATATTTCATGGGGATCCTCCTACGCATATTTCAGCCGGTCGCAAACGCATGCGTACGTGCTCATCTGCTTGTCGAGGCCTAGCATGCATGGCTCTAGTACACAAGCAGAGCAGGCAAAGACCAAAGAGCACGCCACAAAGGAACAACTCCCGTGAACATGATGCAACCTGCAGCTGCAAGCCTTTTGATCTGTACCCTGCAGCTGCATCCAGCGCCCAGCGGGGCACAGAGACAAAAACCCTGACTAGCTAGGGCACTGCAGTGTTCCGTTTGCATGCATTTCGCAAGCTTTTTAGCTGCTGACATGGACGCAATATATACAACAACTCTACAAGCTAGCTAGTCCCCACTCTACGTATATTTGCCTTGCCTGGTGACCTTGCGACTCACGTACCCATCACCACTCTAGTTAGGTGACTTGGGCCTTTCTGCTTTTCACATGTACAGTTTTGTCTACCTGACCAGTGACCACCTGCTACTGGTGTACGTACATATAGTATACTGCTATATAGGAGTATGCGTTCCATTCTTTCATGTGTTTTTTCTCTGTCCCTGTAAGCACGCAGGAATCTATGTACTCCTATCTGTGAGTGAGTGCCTTTCTGCAGTATTGTCATGCCATTGCGTCAAATCCAGATCTGGACACAGCTGCGCGCAGGAGTCCTTGGCTCCTTGCAGGACCAGCAGTACCATAGCTCTCTCTCTCACACACTAGCTGCCTTTCATCTTTGGATCTTGTGGCTTTGCTAGCTAGCTCTGCCATGTTCTCAAAAAGATCTCATGTTTTGCTACCTGCGAGCCTCTTTCAGCCTGCTCTTACCTGCCCCATGACATTTTAAAAACTAACTAGCTCATGTTCAACACGAGTCATTTAAAATTCTTGTCCTGGTCGCTTTTCCCTTCTTCGGTTTCAAATAAACTACCCCCTCTATATATCTTGAAATATAAGGGATCCAATGCAAGTTAGCTTTTAGTCAAACTATGCTAACTTCAACAGAATTTACATAGAAGAATATACACCTCTATAACATCAAAGATATAAATTATGAAAAATATATTCCATAATGTATCCAGTGATATTAATTTGATGGTATAAATACTATTGTTTTTTTCTATATGCTTGGTTAAACTTACCATAGTATGACTGTTGGGACAATAAACTGAGATCTCTTATATTTCATGACTGATGGAGTACTAAAAATTAAAGGGTCCACATATGACTGTCGGTTTTTCTTTTATTCAGAATGCAAGGCATTGTTAATAGGAGGCATGAGTTCATATGGCCGGTCATAATCATATGATCTCATACCCTTCCTAATTGGCTTGTAATTAACTAGCAACATCATTCCATGATTGACCTGGTTTATCAACTCCACTGCCACTTTTGCCTTTCGTGGGACACTGATTAGTAAGGTATACATATATCGGATCACGGGTCGCGCCATCTTTCATAAAGATATAATGATGGTTACGATAAGATCTCGGTTAGTTCCATCTTTTTCCGAGGTCGATCTTGTTCTTGGTAGTTAGAAGAGACTGGGTGGCAATAATGGTATGCATGCGCATTTTCTCAGCTAACCGTTGCCGGATCCAGATGCAATGCAAGCTCAGCCATATACAAAGTCGGAGTACATGCATGTGTGTACCGATCAGTGCATGTTTGATTTGAAAATTAAAGTTGGCATATAACCCATTAAAGCTGTGAGACCCAGCATCATGGGAACAGCTTTACAGTTGAAAGTAGGGGGGTCGTAATGAAGGTTTTAAGGATCGATCCAGGACGTGGCGGCAACCAAAAGAGAGGGGACAAGATCATCGACCTATTGTTAAACCTATCGAGATCAGGCAGGTTGGCAGCTTGGCACAAGGGTCTACGTGTTGCAAGCTGATTGACGACACCGGAAACCTACAGTGAGATCACGGAAAGAAGCCAGCAGGCAGCAGAGCTAGCCTCGAATCACAATCACCTCATGAGTCATGAACTGCAGCCTTGAAACTCTACCCTCTCTGTTTTTTCTCCGAACAAAACTACTAGCAAGGAACCATGAAACAGAACACAGGCACCTTTTTGCAGTTTGGCTTTGGCATGATCAGGTGCCTGTGCGTGCTAGTCCCAAGTTCCAAGCACGCCAATTGAAGATGTGTGCAGCTGGTAGCCCCGGCACCAGCAGTCACACACGAGACTACAGAATATGAGCTGTGTGGACCAAAATAAATGAGAAGGAGGTGACGGGCGTCTGCCGCTGTTGCACGCACCGTAGCGTCCTGCTGCGTATAGAATTGGAGATCGAGATCGTCGTCGCGAGCCTGGCCTGCTTACCAAACTACTACCAGATGACTTCTGGCTTTCCTGGTGGCAGTCTACGCGCGGCTGCGCCTAAAAACTGAAAACTACCCGTGGCGCCCGTGCCCGCAACGACGGACGTAGTCTGCCGGCCGCCACAAGTCAGAATCAGATCGAGAGCGCGTACCGAGCCCACGCTACATGATTAGCTTATTATCGGTATGGCAAGTCGAGACGAATGACAATTTAGACGTCTGGTGTGGTGACTTTTATAAATCTCTCGATCGGTCGTCTCGTGGTCGTGGTGTATGGAACAATATGAGCATGCGTGATAACCGTTAGCAGCAAGTAGGCAGGTAGATAGGGCCAGGCCTCATGCATGGGTAGAGAGAGAAAGAAGAAGAAGGGGCTTGCAGATGGCAAGGACATTGTGGCGTATCTCAGCTCATCATGGTGCAACAGCCAGTGCAGCAGCTGTATGCCTGCATCTGCATCTTCATGGCGCAGCATGGGATGCATGCCTAGCCGCTGCTCTGCGACATTACGTACTCTGCTATCGGTAATCAGTTAGACCAGGCCCCCTAGCTATTGTCGTTCTCTCACTTTATCTATCTATATCTACAGTATCACGTACCACTGGCGGTAATAACTTAGCACTGGCACGTTGCCGTAGATGAGAATGACACCATGAGAGAGGACGGCCGAGCTTGTTCTCTCAAGCCTATCGTCTATGCAGAGCAGACGAAGAGGCAAAACCTCCGAGGAGAAGACGCCAACCATCCAGAGCCGCCGCACTACACCAACAGCAGTCTCACTGACCTCAGCTGGCCCACTGGAGGCAGACCCACATGTCATGCACCGGAGTGGAGAGGGACGGCGCTGGCACAACGGGCCGTGAGTGTGGGGTTCACCTTTGGGCTTGGCCCAGTGCTGCGGCGTGGGTCCGACATGGCGAGGAGGGCGTTGACGATAGTGGCCGCGGGCCCACGCGTGCTCGCACACACACTCATGCTGGGCCCGTGAAAAGCGTCAGCCGAGTTAGGCCAGGTCACATGCCCGCCTGGCCACGCGGGCCCGGCCCGGGGACAGGGAGTTGGGCTTCGCTTGTTCGCTTGCCTGCCTGCGGGGGGGACGCGCCGCTGCCGGACGCCCCCACCGGCCCACCCCACACCGACCCGCCGCAATGGGAGCTCTGCTGCCTCTCCGTTGCCCTGCCACACTGCCTGACTGCCATGTACTACGTAGCACACACGCAGCTGATCTGATCCATGTTGAATGGCGCTTCGCGAAAAAAACATCAGTGAACCGGCCTGCCGCCTGCCGGAATAATCAGAGGCGACGACGACGCCATCGGCCAGTACCAGCGCTACT